GGCGGCATGGAGGCGCCGGGGCAGCAGCGCCGCGCTCTCTACAAGGGGCCCGCAGCCCCGCCCTGGAAGGAGACCTACCGCCGGGTGAGCGCCGCCCCGTAGAACGCGGGGGAGCCCGGCGTTCGGGCCCTGGATACATTGTAACGATTTCCCCGCCCCTGGACCCCTCCAGCCCCCTGGGTAGCAGCGAGCGGGCAAAATGGGGCAGGAGGCACCTGCCTGCGCTCAAGCCTCAAACATCAGGGCTGCCCCGCTAACACCGGGTCCCCCTGTCTGCCGGGGCTGGGGGCAGTACAAGGGGGGGTCCACTTGGCATGGCCCCCTGTTTTGCCAACTACCGCTGGCAGGAGCGAGCCCGGTGGCAGGATTGCTGTGCTCAGTGGCTGGGAAGTGGGTGGGGCTATTAATGGTATTCCTGTTAAGTACGCTTTGCACCATCCTTCAGACAGAGAAACAGGGCTTCTATCAAGTGTAGGAATCGAATCCAAGTGGTCTAGCTACCCAGGCCAAAGCTTACACATTATGTCTCCCTAACACCATTTTCAAACAGATATGAGTTGGTCAATGCTTAATTTCAATGGCACCCTGAAAATTATACAGAAGGAAGAGTTGCATGTTAACCTGTGTGTCTTGGTGGCAGTAGGGTGGGAAGGGAGCTATTCTGGTCGGCTGGCTGCTCAAATCTCCTGAAGCTCTGTAACCCAGGCCAAAGCTTACACATTATGTCTCCCTAACACCATTTTCAAACAGATATGAGTTGGTCAATGCTTAATTTCAATGGCACCCTGAAAATTATACAGAAGGAAGAGTTGCATGTTAACCTGTGTGTCTTGGTGGCAGTAGGGTGGGAAGGGAGCTATTCTGGTCGGCTGGCTGCTCAAATCTCCTGAAGCTCTGTAGGGTTCCAAAATAAGTTTCCTAGGTTTTTCTAGCCGGTAGGACAACTTTGAGAAATAAATATTGTGAGGCTCTGATTTAATCTCAGTTCTCCTACACCCTTACCACCAACTGCAGAT